TGAAGTTCAAATAATCACACTGAGGTTTATTTTTAATAACGTTGCAAGTAAAAAAAGAAGAGACAAAACAGTCTAGATACAGTAACATATGAAATGTAAGGTAAACCTGGGCATGGAGGTCAGCAAATTTACGATTTTAAAAACGATCCTAATGCTCGGTCTCCACGGTGACCAAACAGCTCGTTTTATATCCAACGCTGCTGTACCATGTGCGAGACAGATAACCCGTTCAAAGCCTGCCCTTGTGTGCCTGTTTATGTTTTGTTGTGTATACAGTATGTGCGGACACCAGACATCCCAGTTCCATCCCGTCCACAGAGCAGGAAGCAGTTTCCCATGGTTCTGCTGGGATGTCGCTTTCATGTGGAAATAGTCCCTGGGTCCCTTTAGCCCCTCTGTTGTGACAGCAGATAATGAATTTCACAACATCTGCCATTTGTTAGACCCGTTTGGTGTAAGTGATCTCCTTTTAATCCATGGACTTCCAACATGCGTGCAGCTCCGCAGCTGGAACCATGCAGATGGAACCACGCAGATGGATCCCAAGGCCTCTGTGGGGCTGCAGCAGGCGGGCTGGGGCTGGAACGTTCTTCCTACCCCCTCCCCGGCCCCGAAAAACAGAGCACTGACACACGCTGCCTTTTGACCACTGCTCTCTGTTTTCTCACCATTAGACCTCTGTAGCATTATGGGAATATGGCCTTGTAAAAACGGCAACAGGCTAGTGGAGCAAATCTAGACACTAGACAGTTTAATTGAATCGATCAGTCTCATATATAAACTGCGACAGCTGATTTAACAGATCTCCATTCTCTACTTTTGAGGAACACGCAAGCAATAACTGGACCCATAAGGAAAAGTTATTTACTATCATCTCATAACGTGATAAATACAGTGACTGACAACTGAGCATAGATGTGCAGTGGAACAAATGAGCTGTTTTATCTAATAGTGATTAAATGAGATCAAATGTTTGGTCTATAGGTTGCATGCATAGACTGTATATTGTAGGACTGTAGTGTACATTTCCCAGGTTGCTGGCTGCAGTATAAGTCATAAACCCTGCCTCCTCCATGGTAGTGGATTGGACATGGTCCAAACTAAAAACTAAATGTACTACGGACATGTCATTGCATTGAATTAAAATAGAAAGGATGGCTTTGCCTACATAAGCTCAGGGGGTAACATTTGCAGTACTTCCTGGTGGGTATTCTCTGAAGTATAATGTAGCGTTAGATGAGTTCTTATTTCTTTGGTTCCACCATTGGCTCTTTAGAAGGCTGTTAGGGCAGGTGTGTGTCTCTTGGAGTCTCTTGTGGGTTAATGAAGGATAATAGCGATGTTTACTGTACTTTACCTTAAACTAGAACTGGATTAGTGTTGGTTTAAAAACAAAAACCCTCCAGGAGTCTTACAAACAACACTGTGTTGACGGTTACAAAAAAAAGTGACAAAGCAAACTTCTAATTCAATTTGCTATTGATTTGGGAATAAATAAAATGATAAGAATGTGAAAAGAAAACTCAAAGAGAAAGAAAAGAACTGAGGAATTAAGTAAGGATAACCCACAGTGTGGCTTACCACAGTTAAATTAACAATACATGAACTAACGCTGCTAATGTTAATGACAGAAAGAAACATCAGAAACATGGATTTCACATCAGTGCACAACTGACAAATCTTTACCATAGTACAAGTAGTTATTTGACTGAACAAGAGATGCAGTTATTTCTAATAATATCACTAATTAAATGAAAACTATTACGCCATGCTGGCTCTCCCTTTTACACAGACATTGACACGGCTCTGTGACGACAACTGCTCCCACCATAAAGGCAAAAAAAAAACAAAGCCCCCTAAACGGCCTGTTTGTTCCTTTGGTCTAGAATATCAAGGCTTGATAAAGATGGAAGATTCCTACATTGTGCAGGCTGTGTAAAGAGCTGGGTTATTGTCTTTGAAGAGAGTAACAGTCACATGTTAATCAGATATGAGTCCTTATTGTTGTAGAGTTCCCGTTTTGCTTGTTCACTCTGATTAACCTTGTGTTCTTTGATTGAATCCACCAGGCCTCTATTGTAAATCTCTCTGACATGCTAAAAGCTGCTCTTTCCAGTGAGTGGGTCTATTTTATCTCTGTTCCATATCAGTGGGATTTGTGATTGTATAGGAGGAGAATCCTCAGGTTCATAAACAAGTGGAATGTCCACACTAATAAACTCTTCAATATCTCTGTGGCCTGACATGTCCGCTACACCTGGTATGATTTTATTCCAGTTTGTCCACCTGTTACACTCATCCTAACTCTCTCAGGTCTGTATTTGCACTCAATTGTAATATGGTATGAGTGTAGAGGTTTATTTGACTCAGAGGGATTTTCAGTCACTCAGTTTAAAGTCATGTTGTGCAGGGACTGAAAATATGTCACTTTGAGACCAGAAGGTGGTAGTTCAGGCATCCTAACTTCAAAATGGGTAAACTGACCCATGATAAAGAACAATCTGAAAATTTTGAAAGATTCTTTGATGGAAATGGAAATAATTGCTGTGAGAGGCTCCTTCTGGCAGCCTAGTGTAGTGTAGTTTTACATGGAGCAGTTACAGAGAGACATTATCACTTATTTCTTAGCATTGTGTTTATGTCCACCTGGCAAATGTTCGTCCAATATGAGCTCTTTTAGCTCTGTTTTTTGTCTCCACCAGCTCCTGAGAACATTTGTCTATTTGTCTATGTGCTAACAATGTTCACCTGCTACTCATTTACTGTGGTTGTCTGCTGGTGCTGTTGTGGGGTTTGGAACTTTTACAAATACCAGACCCCACAGATAAATCATGACCTAAAACTCATTACAAGGTGAAGACAAGAAGTTCTGCTGGATAAGCTGATAATTCTCTATAGTTTTATCACATGAGCAAAAATTTTCATTGTTAGTTGACACACTAAGAGAAAAGTATAACTTGTACCTGGTTTACAGCAGCACTTATAAATACTCATAAATCAACAACAGAAAAAATGTTGTGTAATGAGAAAGCAGTGCTCATAGTGACAGACACACAGCAAATCATCTCTCAGCTCTTTATTTTTGGTAGAGACTAATAGCAGATGCAAGAGAAGAGTGAGAACCAGTCAGATAATTATTATAATCATATTTGTAAAAAGGCAACCATTTGGTGACAAGTTTGTCGAATCACCTTTAAAGACATTTCACTTTTGTTTTTACAGTCTGTTTTCATTGCCATCAGGTGGTCTAAATATAAATGAATACAGGTTAAAGGAAGTGCATAATTTCTGAACCTACAAAACTGTGAGTGTTGAATTCTGTATCATTGTGACCTTTGTTGAATAAAAGAAGAAAAAAACAAAATTTTTGGGAACTTCTTATCCAACCCTTAAATTCTAGAGAAATTAATATGTTGATGTTAGACTTTTGGTTTTCTCCATACCAGCATCAGCTGACGATCTTCAGGATAAAGATTACACTATGGTGACGGCATTAACGACACACATTACAGGGTCATATGTTGTGAATGGTTTTGCTTTGACAGAACACACAGACGTCAACAGAGCTTCAGAATCACCTTTTATCTGACGGCAGGAATGACTGAAGTGCTGGATTCAGTCAATCTTCATTCCTTTCAAACTTTTTGCCCTCATCCTGCCCTCTTCATAAAACCTGGAATGTGCTTCAAAGGATGCACAGAATCTTTCTTCCATGAATAAAACATCTGTCAATCATCAGCCAGTACAATATGTGCCAATTTAATGAGGCAAAACAGCTCTGTGAAGCAGTGGAGCTGCAGACTGCACAGTGTCCTATGAAGCAGAGTCACGACCAAGTGTCACCTGCAACCTCTGGAGCTAAATCTAGTTTATTTAAACATAATCCAGGCAATTAATTTGTGAATTGAAGTTGTAAATAAAAAACACCTTGTGCAGACCAGCCAATGAAAACATTTGTAATTCTAACTGTGCACCTTCAACAGGTGTCTGAGATAGCAGGAGAGTGTCTTGACTCAAATCTTCAGTAAATTCACACAAGTTCACTTCACTCATCACGAGGAAAGGAGAGTTTCTTAAGTGTGAAAAATAAAGTGATGTTCTTAGTGTTATCTTGGGCTTGGACACTTCACATATAACTGAAGGTGAGTCAGGGCCTGAGGAGCACATGTGCTCCTCAGTAAAGATTTTTAGGAAGGCGTGAAGAAGTTGAGATGCTCCATGAAGGAGACGTTTATAAGTAATATTGTTTTCTTAATTGCATGTGCATGGAAATGGTGTTTGGGTTGTTCCCCACACATCTCATTGTTTGTTATGTATTTGTCATACACTTAGGGGGATACTGTATTTACGTGACACAGAGTGCAGAATTAGGAACAGACCCAGTGCAGCTGATAGGAGCACATTGTCTTGGATGACTGATTCAACCGGCTTGCTTATTACAAGGTCTTTGTTTGTTAGTAAGCAATATTACGCAGAAACTACCCAACTGATGTCCATTTCATTTTGTGGAGGGTTGGAGCATAAACCATTACATTTTTGTGCAGATCCAAGTTTTTACTTTCTTCTAAATCTGAATAAAATCAGGCATATTAGTGGAACTCATATTTATGAGTGTGCAATTTAGTGCATCTTGTTTGAATTTAAGAAGCCTGTTGGTGGAGGTACTCTCCTGAGTGCCATTCTAGTTGTGATAGGGAGGAGCACGTGGTGAACTCTTATAATCCAGTCTCTAATTGTCTCAGTAAATGTCTCCATACCGTAGACTGACAGTTAAAAGAATCATGGTCCTCAGGAGAAATGTTCACTCTGGGCTGATCCCCACGAGGAGTGTATCCCTTGACTTATTGCGCCTCCTACCGGCGGAAAGAGAGGGCCCGTCCACGCGCGCTACCACCGCCCGCACGGCAGGTGTCGCTGCGTGTTTCGCTCTGCGCAGTTTCCCCTGTAGTGCTTCCGCCTCCACAGACCATCCGGTCAGCTACCAGGTCAAAACACAAACAATGGGCAAGAAGCACAAGAAGCACAAGTCCGAAAAACACGGACATGAAGGTATTTCACTGACACACAGCGCAGACACGTGTTGGTTTAAACTGCGGGTTGATTTTGTTTTGAAGCACCAAAGCTAAATTCTCATGTTTGGCGCTTTAATGTTAGCATTCTACTAGCTAGGGGATTAGCTCTTTAGCTCACGGTTAAGTAACTGTTACCGGACCATTTTAACTGCATGTCCATTCAAACTGAACCTGAACACAATGTAGGATATTGCAGAACCCACTACAATCTAATGTTAGCTTCTCTTAAACGCTTTCTGTTCGAGCTAACTAGCTGCTAAAGGCTAATGTTTCTAGTGTGTGTCAGTACTCACTGTGTATGAGCTGCTGCCCGCTCGGTCTAACCTCCTCCCGTCGCTGTGGTGGGTGCAGAGTACGGAGAGAGACCCCTGAAGCTGGTGTTGAAAGTGTCGGGGAACGAGGTGACGGCAGGAAGCTCGACCCTCGACACGTTTTACGACGAGCAGCCGGCGGACTATGACAAACCCAAAGACAAGAAGAAGAAAAAGAAGAAGGATAAAGAGAAGAGCTTTGGATCACCGGAGGACGACAGAGCGAAGAAGAAGGTAACGTCCCTGAAAACCATGTCATCGGGGTGTTTGGCTCTTTAGGATATTTTATTACATGGATTGTCCTCATTGGTGTTTGTTATTGCAACGTCAGATGACAAAGAAGAAGAAAGGACACGATGCAGACGGAGATGATGATCGAGAACAATGCAGAACTCCGATTCGTTCAGAGCTGGATAAACTGGAAGGTAAACAGCAGCTCATCTCACACCTCGCTTTCTTTGCATGTGTGTATTGATGCCTTTGTTAATCTTTTTCTTATTATTCCTGACTTGCAGAGAAAGAACAGACTCCTCTGCAGGAAGCTTTGAACCAGCTCATCAGGCAGCTCCAGAGGTACAATGTTCACTATTCATGGATGTGAGAACATTGTTGGGGATAGCTGTTTTAGCTCACACCACTCTCTGCCTCCGTGTCTCTTTCTTCATCTGTCGTAGTTTTTACCATTCGCCTGGTGCTGCGAATAAAATACTGATTGTGTCTATTCTCTGTAGGAAAGACCCCAGTGCATTCTTCTCGTTTCCTGTGACCGACCTCATCGCTCCTGGCTACTCATCAATTATCAAGCGTCCAATGGACTTTAGCACAATGAAGGACAGAATAAAGAAAGAGTGCTACCAGACGTTGGATGAGCTCAAGGTACCTGTCAGTTGTGAACACAAGTGATTAAGTAGACATTACGGAGACACAGCAAGAAGAACTTAAATAACTGACTTCAAAAGAAGCTGAGCTCTGGGATTTCTGTCAGTCTCTTGCATAGAGATTTGAAAAAAATATATCACGTCTCAATATGCCACCATACCTCAACTATAGTGTGGGATAAGTTTGGTTAACTTGTTTAAACATTATAAATGTACTTTGTGCTTTAATGTTGATTGTGCTGTGGATGCAGGTTGATTTCAGGATCATGTGTGAAAACGCCATGATTTACAACAAACCTGACACCATCTACCATAAAGCAGCTCGGAAGCTGTTACACTCTGGAATGAAGATCTTGAGCCAGGTATGAAACAGTTAAGAATTCCAGCCCATTTTCAGGAGCATTCTTTTACCTTTTTTGTGTATATGACCACAGCTCAGTTATTATTATAATCTCCACACCTTCTTTGTCTTTGAAAACTCAAGTAAGGTTAGAGAGATCCTTCAACAAAGTATTATCCACTACTTTTTAAACTACTTTTACTGAAGTTGTGTAAAACTCTCTTTGCCACAAGATGTCAGTGTCTAGTCCCTCTCAGTGTACACTCAGTGTAGCTGTGTTGTGTTTGCTTTAAACTGTAAATGGAGCCCTGGAACAAATAAAGGGACCCTGCTTTTTCAATGATACAACAGATGAGGGCAGCAGATTCTTCGTCATATAACGCCATCTGTATTGCCAACAGGATTATGAGACAAGCTTTGTTTCTCTACATGCTCATTTTCCTTTTCTGATACAAATTTTAAGATGAAATGTTTCATTGTCTTTTCTATATCTTTTCTGTAGGAGAGACTGGAGAGCCTTAAACAGAGTATAGAGTTCATGTCTGGCCTTGACCCTTCTGCCAAACCACCATGGAAGACTGAAGATCAAGGGGGCACCAGCCTGGACCAGAACAGAGAGGGACCCTCAACCACAGACACCAGCGAGAGCTCCCAGACGCCCAGTACACCCAGGTCTTTTAACCTGCTGACTTCATACACGTCACACGTTACTAAAATAATCATAATAATCATTATGCATTCAATACATGGACCCCTTGAAGCTTCAAGTGTATTATTCTTAAGTTTGATTCATACTTGTTTAAGATTTTAAAGACACACACACTTGAGAAATGTTCCCGATTTCTCCCTGATCTTGAACAAAAGATTTTTTTTAAATACTCCACCCAACTACAGTTGTCATCTTGCCTGCCACAATCCCAGATGTTTAAAACTAAAAGATGAAATCGTCACTCATCAACTTGAAATAGTTTCCCGCTTTCATAGCAGATTCTATGAGAGTGTTTTCTTCTGAGTAAATCACTTTACCACTGTGAAGCTGTAGGCAGAGAATGTTAAGAATGTGTAACAGCGTGCTGAGTCTTGTCTCCTCTCATGGCTGTGCATCTGTGAAATTTGTGTGTTGTTGCTGAATGTTGAAACAGAACCTGACATTCACGTGTTAGTTAAGACTCTGTGACTCACCTTCGCTGTGCTGATTTCCCTTCAGCTACCTGTCACCTTTTTATATGCAAAATTATAGTGTATGAAACCTTGATGCTTATTTATGTCAATAAAATGCTTCCACATTGTTTATCTGAGGAATGAAAGGCAAACAGAAAAGTTCACATATTTTCTCCCCGCTGTATTTTGCTGTGTCTCCATGCATTTTATTCTCGCGACAAAGGACAAAAAAACCTTTTCGTTCATGGTCAAAGCGTCTCAGCTGCCATCTTTCAATTTGTGTTTCACTTGCAGACAGGACAAGGACTCCAAAGACGAGGCAGCAAAGGCAGAGAAAGAGCTGGAGGAAATCCGCAAGGTCATAAAGGAGTCTGGAGGAAAGCTGTCCAACAGAGTGCTGCAATGTGATGTGAGAATGCAGGGTTCAATTTAGGATATTTTCCCCAAAAAAAAAAAGATTTAAGAAAAGTAACTAATTTAAAAAAAAGTGTAGTTATGTCTTAGTATCATGTTGGATTTGTTTGTTGCTTGATTGGTGATGTTGGTGGGTCTGTTACAGTTGAGTTATTTGTCTGATGTTCTTGATGTTTAACCACAATAGTGTCAGTTCTCTCTACAAAAACATTTTTTTTGAATTGCTATTTCCTGCCATTGAATAATCGAAATGTATTTGTTTTGTAGTTGGAGTTTGCAAGACGAAAGTCTGATGGCTCCACTACCATGGCTATCCTCAACCCAGCAGATCCATCAGTAGGAGGTAAGAACACTTAAAACCTTATGGAGCTCTAATAAATAATCATAATCAATAACCCTCTCCTTCCAAACATGACGGAGAACCTGTGGAAGCCTTCAGTTGTCATAAAAACTCAAAAGGTGTTTAGTTTGTCCAGTCTGGTCTATTGTCTAAAACATGGCGGCCTCTATAAAGAGGACCTGTTATGGACACGTCATTATATCTATATATCAGTTTATCTTTGTAGAACTAATCGATGACAGTAGTTCTTAGTTGCAGCCATATTATTATATCAGTTAAACGTGTATTTCTTGTTCCAGATGTTGGCTACTGTCCTGTGAAACTGGGCATGATGTCAAACCGGCTGCAGAGCGGTGTCAACACTTTGCCGTGCTTCAGGGAGGACAAGAGGAACAGGATCACTCCAGGTACTCTACTGTGATGACGTCATGTGGTCAGAGACCTAACATCAGACCTCTCAGTGAACACAACTGATAATGTGCTGTCTTCTAATACTTTCCTCAGTGTCATACATGAACTACGGGCCGTTCACCTCCTATGCCCCTACCTATGACTCCAGCTTCTCCAACATCAGCAAGGAGGATTCTGACCTTATCTTCTCTTTGTATGGAGAGGACTCCAGTCTGCAGGGCTCAGACAGGTATGTACAATAGGACCATGAACGCACATGAGCTCAACTGCATTTACACTAAAACGTCACTTGAGGCATTCCTGGCTGATTACTTTCCAGATTTTTCTCCTATTCACCAAGTTTACTCAGTGTGGAAGAGGTCAGCTGCTGACAGCCTCAGTCCGACTTCACTTCTTATGCTTTGGTTTCAGCTTGTTCTTTTGTACCCATGACGCGCTTGGCCTCTATGCCACAGAAAAGTCACTGTACTGTTATAGTAAGAGTTTTATGGGACATTTTAATTTCAAAATGACCCCTTTTAAGAAGTTTGCTTTTACATAACACTTGTTTTTTTATGTCATTTTTCATGACCAGTGTTGTCATAGCCTTCTCACCTTTCAGCCAATTACTTGCCGCCGGCAACTTGATCGCGAGCAAGCTCAAGAACTGTCTAGATTCAGCCAGTTAACAACTGTTAGCTAGAGCAACAAGGTCAAAGTAATATGTAGTAAACACTCCACCCTAATCTAACCCGTGTTTAGGCTGGAAATGTTACACTGAACTGACGAACTGTTAGCGCCATGTCCTGTCTGTCATGAGCAGGGACATTATGACATGAATTCATTCTGAAAAATGCTAATAATAAAACAGATAATGATAATGACCTGATAATGAGTTCATTTTCTTCACAAATGTTTGGTTAACTTTTTTAAAATTCTACACAATTTACTAATATGACTTTATTTCAATATGTCTTTAATTTAAATAAAATATTGAGTTCTTATTTATCTTCACCAATATTTTTTTCTGATTATTTTTAAGGCTTGGCTTAATCTGTGTTAAAAATTAAAGTCTTGAGGATTCAATGTTTGTTTAGAACTAATGACTTATAATCAGTATTGATTTTCAGTATTGGTATTTAGAAAAGTTGAGATATGTTATTGCACTGAAGTGTGTTTTTTTAATCCAACACCTAGTTATCTTTCAGAATGTTTCCATCTTTACTACATTATTGTAATATAACAAATATTTGCATGCATTATTTGTGTGAGGTTGTCAACTTTTGTGAGATGCTTTGTTCTCTTCAGCGTTACTTTTTTCATTGTATGTGTCGATTCAGTTTGACAGAGTCTTTTATTCCTCGATCATTGTCTTTTGTGTCGTTGTGTCAATCCTTTATTTCTCTTCCTAGAAAAGAAACACTGTCACTTTGTTTTTAAATGAACGAAAACTATTGTCAGGCACGTTCGTCTTAGTGTGTAGGAGGTTCTGTTTCAGCAAGTATCAGCAGTGTCAATACAAATTACTCATTAATGACAACAGTTGTGTGTGTGTGTTTGACAGCTTGTCAGAGTTTCTCTCTAAATCCGACGAGTACGTGTACAAACAGGCCGACAATCTCCTCGATGCACTGACGAACGGAGAGCATTCAAAAACCCTGATGGAGACAGAGCCAGTAAGAAGTTACTGTGATTTCATAACTGATCCAACTTTACCACTGAGTTTAACAGCACAACCTGAAATCCTCCAGAATACATTTACTGAGTCATTTGTCTCTCTACCTCTGCAGCAGGTGGAGGAGCCAGAAAAAACACAAGAGAAGAAGAACACTGAGGTAAGAGATGGAACAAATCTGCAGCTGGATCTCACATAAAAACACCTGCTGTGTCCTCAGTGATAAACAGCTTCTGCACATCTTCTCCCCCACTGTACCGTACAAATGGAAGCGGACATGGAGTTCATAATGGGAAATATCAGCGTGCGCTATGTAACACAAAACCAGAGGCAGTCACCCTCGTCGCATTTGATGGGATGTTTGGAAGAGCGGCTCCCACTGTGCCGTTGTTTCTTGGAAAGCACATGTTCTTGCATAACACCTCATGTGGGGATACTCGATTTCATTTTGTCAGTATAGATGGCCTCTGCAGATGGTTGCTGCATCAACCAGCTGTGTCAACATAGCAGTGGCCTGCTGTCAGCTTTCATCCATCCACGCATGGAAAGAACATTTCCCTTTCGAAAAAGCAGTGGTGCTACTCGCTAAATGCCCACCGGAGAGGCCCGTGTTTTCTTTCAGTGCCCGCTGGCTGCACGGCTGAATCGCTCCTCAGAGCAGCGGAGGAAGCCCAAGCGCAGGCTGTTCCACCAGGCGCACAGCAGCCCTCTGTCCTGGCTGTTTGCTGTTCTTGGCCACACTCCAGTTTATTCTCATCCCCTGCTCGGGTGTTGCAGCATTTCTTTACGTTTGAATTTACTGGAGCAAAGTAGCAGGACAACAAGCTAGCTAGTGAGAAACAGTTTTTTCGAACCTACTGAACATACCCCCCCCTCTGTCTCATGCAGGTAGCTGAACCCGAAGCATCCAGCTGCAGCAGACTCGACTCTATGCGCGCCGTTGCAGGCCTGCAGACGACCAAGGAGCTGTCTGGAGGTAAAGCCTCTCACTGAGTTTGTTAGAGTTGGGGATACAAATAACAATTATCAGGGAAGGTTTTTCTTGTCTTTTTGACCATTTTAAGATTGGTTGAATGTTTGTCAAGTCTTGACATATGCCCATATTTATGTGGACAGCAGTGTTTGTCCCTGTTCGTTCCTCCTGTCTATATGAGCCCTGAAGAAATCCTTTACAAAACTGATTTCAGTCTCATACACGGTCCAGTTTTTTTTATTTCAGCTGGCACCGAGATGAGGCGTTGGCAACATGACAGAGTCAAATCGAGTCAGTGTCTTCGTCTGTGTGACACAGACAGACAGAAATCCCCCTTTTAATGCTGACTGGTGATTTGTTACATAAGATTACACTGAGCTTAGTAAGGGATCTCGTCACAACTGGCATGGACGGGCGGAACATGTTTACTCTTTACATGTCTGGAAAAAATGAAGCTGACAGCTTCAGATTGTTTTCACTGCTCAACAAACATCTAAAACCCCAAACTACAGAGATAGCAAACAGAAAAAACAGCAAATCACTGAAATTATCTTTAAAGTAAGTTTATTTTCTGTTGATAAACTTTGTCTAATTCAGTTTTTTGATATGATGAACCGACATGTGCTCAGCCATACTGATTGCTTTATCTTAGTCTCAGATGAATATGAGACTAAATCTCTAAATCACCATTCAGGGTAATTAAAAAAAACAGCCCCATTGAAAGCAGCTAGATGGAGGCTCAGCACTCACGTTAATGTGACTGTGAGACTTACGGGGTCCACAGGTTCAGAGAGAAAGGACGTATTGTGTTCAACATGTGTAACCGAGCACAGGAGGTAACTGTAGAAAAACAGTGGAAGTACTAAGTGTGTGTGTTGTCTGTCTCTCCCTGATCTGTCACAGAGGCCCTACACTTCCAGCAGAAACTGGATGAGACTACAAAGCTGCTGCGCAACTTGCAGGAAGCACAGAGGGAGCGTCTGAGCGCCAAGCAGCCGCCTAACATGATCTGCCTGCTGGCCCCGACCGCCAAGGAGCTGGAGCTGGGTAAGAGCGTGTCGCTGAAAGCCTCTTTGTGTCTCCCAGCTGTAGCCCCCTAACAACACTCCTTTTACCTCTGTGGTGTCCATCCTACACAGATGTGCTTTGTCTTTTTGCTTCAGACACGTTCAGACTGTGACACTGACCTCTTTAACAGTGTGATGTGATGGTTAAGGTGAAAGGGTTGGGTTTGGAATTTATGGGTGTTAAATATTTGCAATTCTGTTTTGTCCCCTCCTTAAGTTTACTGAAGCTAATGCTGCTCAAAGCAGCTACAACTGTGCACTCCAGCAGGAGATTGTTCAAAACAACAGGGAAATATCCCAAACATTCACGAGAGGCAGAACATGCCATGTCAATTCTGCAGCAGAAGTCGTGTGTTTTAGCACAACTGCCTGTATAGATGAACACTATACCAGGAAACGTTCAGTAAATATGTAGCTAGCTGGCTAAGTGTAGCTTGGCATGAAAACAGGAAAGAAGCCAAATCTGTCCAGAGGTATTTCACTACTTGTCATGTAAATTACTTATTTTGTTCAGTGGAAAATCCATTTGAAAATAAGACTGGCAGACAACCAGACTCAAGGAAGTTTGACTTCAGCTTTTCACTCTTAATTGTTGTTCAGAACAAACAAATAAGATACAACATGTTAACTGAACTGCCAAGCTGCTGCTCGGAGGTAGATTGAATTATATTTGGACAGAGCCAGGTTAGCTGATGCCCTGTTTTCAATCTTAATGCTATGCTAAGCTAACTGGTTGCTAACTCTGGCTATATGATAAGTGTAAGATCAAGAAAAATTTTATTTGATTAGCCCATAATCACAAATCAACACGTGACACCCTCTGCCCTTAACCCTCAGCAAAAGTGTCAAACGTTTCCTTTATTAAGACACAAGTTCCGGTAGAAAGATAATGCTAAAGGATCAATCAACAGTACAAAACATGTAGGTGATCGTGAACAGCATCTACAAACAACGCTCAGCTTCATACAATTTCCTGCCGTCTTTATAATTTTCCTTCTCTTGTCTTTACAGCTGAGAAGGTCACAGGGAATCTGGCCGAGCTGACTGGCCAAGTTGCGCCATGCGACGTCAGCAGCATCTATGGCATCAGAAGAGCTATGGGCATCGCCGTCCCTGCAGGACCACCCAAGCCCCTCATAGACCTCACTACAGGTAAACACCTGACACACGAGCATGACCCCGAGCATGACCCCTCTGTCCACGTGTCACCTCTGGTCTATGCAGTAAAAGACACATTCAGAGATGGGAAATTGTTTTTTTTCATTTTAACCTCATCACCTCTCTTTCCTTCTCAGTGGAGGAGACGACTGAACTGATGGAGACCTCGTCCTCGTGTCAAGATGCAGCTCCGGTCATGGCAGTAAAATGACATGTCAACCACTCACATTTACTTTAGTAACTTAAGTTTTGTATGAAAAGGTGCTTTTTTTGTGACGTTTGTATGGATTTCAATCAATAAATCATGTTTTTATAAGAAACCTTGGCTTATAGAGTGAAATATTTAACTGCAAACCACAGACTTAGGAAAACATTTATTACATTCTGTAACTGTACAAAATCCAATGTCACATTTGTTCACATAAAGGCCAATACATTATTATTATTATTATTATTATTATTATGGAACCACAATAAGAGACAAGATGATGGGTCTCAAAAGACAAGGCCATGAGACAGATCACGTTTTCAGAGGCACAGAGAGCGATCCAGAGCAGCACAGGTGACCATCTCCGCCAGAGCTGGAGAAACTGACAGCAGGCAGGTTGAGGACGCAGCACAGAGCCTCACACGTTTCCTGCATTGCAGCATATATGCAACAGGCAGCAAAGGACATTTTCTAACAGATGGCGAACGCACAGCACAAGGATTTGTCTACCTCCTCCTCAAACAGCAAATATATTGTCGTATATATTTTAAAACTTTACATGAAGAGAACCTAAATTCATGAGTCAGTCGGAGTCGATGAGGAAGCTGATTTCCGGGTCTTCAGCTTGAACAGAAAGTGAAAGTTTATCTGAAAGTTTCTCTACATCTTTCTCTGAAGAACATGCTGTTTCGCATACGTCCTGCTCATTACACAGTAACAGAGCAGAGTGTCAAGCAGGAAAACCTCACGGCTTCCACAGTATGATCCAAACCGAATCTTGTTGTTTTGTTTTTAAAGGACCAAAGAGGTCTTCAAAAAAAAAGGACAACTTTATTTGGCATTAGTACAATTTAGATTTTTTCTTTCCCAAACGACATCTAAGTTAAAGACAAAAAAAGGTAGAAAAGTGACGGAGCACTGGACATAAACGTGTTTGTGAATAGAAAAGGTTGTGATTGTACGTACTGACCAAGTCTCCAGCATGGCGGCCACATCCTGATCTGACTAAAGGGCAGAGAGCAGTGGTGCATCTTTTTTTTTTTTGTTTGTCCTTTACACACCTCAGTATTTTCATCGAGTGACATCATAAGAGCACGGCTACGTTACAGTCAGGTCTGTGGCAACACTTGTGGTGCGTGCAGGAGTTTGTAAACTCGTTGACTTGTGGGCAGGAGTCTCCAGTCCTGTTGGTCTGCGGCAGCCGGGCCTCAGCTCAGCCCCATACCCTGCTGCTTGCTCATGTCAGTGCACACAAAGAAGGTCTTCAGCTCTCCTTTCCCTTTGACGCTGATAAATCCTCGACACTCGCACGAGTAGCCCAACTTCTGCAGCACGTCAGACGTCTCCTCTGTTACCTGTAGAGGAGACGCAGTACACACATTATAACATTTTCATCTGTACCTCCGTCAAGGAGGTTTTGTCTCCATCCATGTTTGTTTGTGTGTTAGATAGTTGGTTTGAATCCGGATCATAAAGCAGTTTTCTTTCACTTTTTTTTTTTTTTTTACATCGACATTTTTTAAACATTTTTGCTAATTCCTGGATCTTGATCATAGATCATATTTAGGGGACTGATATCTATGAGTGAATATCCAAATAAAAATCCAGCTCTAGTTCATTTAAATGTGGTTTCATAAGGGCAGTGTTGGGCGTCGGTGGAGGTATGTGCTCAACTGAGTGAACAATGATCATATCCAGACGAACATAGAATTATTATGTCTGACGTATGTTCAAGGTCATTTAGCAGAGCAACAACTACTGAACCACTTTTCTTAATTTGGTGGAAGGGTGAGGTATTATCCAAGGAAGAAGCCATATTTTCTTCCCTTTTTTTATCATTGCATTTTTGTGAATTTCTCATAAAAAAAATTCTTGGATATTAAGTGAAAAAATTAAGCACATTGAAAGGACCAATGTGAAATGTGTTGGTCCTTGGTGAAGGTTTGTGCTCGACTGCGTCATTCTAGCTTCTTTTTAGTTTAAAACTGATTTTAGCTCCTGTTGTATAAACTCTGAATAACAAACACTCTCTAAACAGATATAGATATATATATATATATATACATATAAATATATTGCTATTAATAAAAATGATATTGCGATAATTATAAATACTGTTATTTTTCCCAGCCCTCGTCTGACTGGACTTTTCTCAATCAACACATGTATCAGTTTACAACTTAATTCTGACATTACACTGCATTAGGTAATATTAGGTTATAGTCATTAGCTGAATGAAATTAATGTAGTTTCTCAAGTTAAAGTATGAATTTCTTCAAATCCACAAATAAATGTGATTAAGTGCAGAGGAGACAAAAATAAAATGTTCATCTCATGAGAAATTCTTAAAACCTTTTTTTTTCTGTTGGCGTTGAGCTGAGTGAAGAAACTCTGGTGTGGGTCAGAGTCAGAAATGGGATCTTTTTAAATCTAGCCATGATTGGGTTGACATTTAAAAAACAAAGCTATGGAGCCGTAACTATGTGAGACAGCACTCTGTCCTTTCACAGCTCTGACTGAGATATTGCTGTTTGTCTTTGTTGGACTGAGCTGGATGTACCTGGATCTTTCCGAGCTCCCCAGTGCTCTCCATCCTGCTCGCTACGTTCACCGTGTTGCCCCAGATGTCGTACTGAGGTTTCCTCGCCCCGATCACTCCAGCGATTACCGGGCCATGATTAATGCCTGTGGGAAAACCACACGGTCATAAATCTGACTCTGTTTTACGATCGATTATGTCATGTGCATACACAGAAGTTACACGAAAACAGGACCAAAAATGAATCTCAGCTCAGAAAGTAGAGGTGATGTTCCATGAAAAGGTGAAACTTTTTCATTCATTACTAGAATGTTGTTGGTTTGTACTTTGTCCTTGACAAAATTGACAACAGCAAAAGAAACACGTGTTTTGTGAAAGGTTATAAAAATAAAAAGGTTTGGACAGTGTTTATCCTGCGTGCAGCATAAACATAAGCAGAGTGTGTGTGTGTGTGTGTGTGTGTGTGTGTGTGTGTGTGCATCAGGTGTCAACAAGTTCATTTGAAGAATGTTTAATACCTTAATGAATGAAATCTAAGACCTATGTTCAAGTACGACAGATATGAAGAAATAAAGTCACAGTCCATTAATTACATTTAATTATTGAAATTCCACATAATTGAAGCCAAGGTGAAGTAAGGGTGAAAATTATGATGTCACCATTTATAGGTAGGAGCCAAACACTTCCAGGGCTTTTAAATTTCAGGAGAGTGAGTGAGTGTGTTCAGATCTCCAGTGTGTTCAGACTCAGCAGCTGATAGTGACAGTACTCTGTACCTCTCCCTGTGACATTTCACTGTTTTTATCACCAAAGAAATGTAAATGTTTGAAACCAAAACCTCTCTGCTCAGAATCAACTGTGGAAGAATAACTGAGTCAGGACTGTAGGCGACAGACAACAGAACTCTCTCTATCTCTTGCTTTGATTATATAATTTACTTTATCTATTATTTAATGCACTTAACATCTCCACAGTCATTTCTCCTCTCCTGACCACCAAGAATAGAAACCACACAGTTCTGTCAGAGGTTACAGCACATGAGCTTATAAAGATGGCTTCCCTCTGATAAGATGCTTTCAGTGCCGACCCGAGTGTGAGCGTCTCTCATTTCATGGACGCAGCATTAATGCCAATCATGCAGAGCACAAACAGGGTTATTATGTCAGCCATAGCTGAGCTGCGTACAGCGCAGTGTTCGATGAGTGAAAGGTTGGTGCCAAAAGCAGCTGAGCACACTCACCCACACGAAGCCTGAAGCTATTGAAGGAATGTCTGTTGATGCCGTCCAACTTGCCAATCAGAGCGATGGCAAACTCCACCATGTTCCCTATCTGGGCCTGTTGTTTCTCTCTGTCCTGAAACAACAGTGAGTCAGAACCGGGTCAGAAAGATGTGTACGCCTCCTCCCGTGCAAAAGTTAGGATCTATGAAAACCATCTTGACAGGAGAATGTGCACACTGTACGAAGTGGCGATGCAAAGGTGAAGTGGTGAAGTGAAGCCCCATGGATTGCCTATGTAAGGGGCTTCAATCAAATATTTCAAGGACAAATAAGATTATTTCAAGGACATTTGGTCATTTTAATCAGATTCCATGACTGGAAATGTTGCCTCTAAATGTCCAGGTTTTCAAGGATGTGTGGGAACCCTGACCCTGGTCTGAAGCAGCAGCTACTCCACCTGATTGTTCTCCTGACCGGGCGTCCCACTAAGCCCAGCAGCCGCCATATAAGTGCTGCCAATTGTCTTGATCTTCTCCACACCGCTGAACTTTGGCTTGGACAGCAGCTGTCGGGTCAGAGCAAAGCAAAATGAGTGATGTGTGCATGTGGGAACTTCATCATTTACAGTCCTTGTTCCTGCTGGCACTTCACACAGTAGGGATTTAGCTCGATAATAACACTGTACTGTTTGAACACAATGTCCACATGGTTAACATTTGGAACTGGAGGAGTACGTGCTACAGAATTAAAGGATGAGGATGAAAGTTTTTCCTTCTTTGTCTTCCTGACCTCGTCAAAGTCGGCGATGATTTCGTTGAGCAGCCTCAGACATTCCAGACCCTCCTTGTTGATGTCACACTCGGTGTAGAATTCTTTGAAATCCGGTACCGAGGCAAACATCACACACACGCAGTCATAGGACTTGTAATAGAGGTCCTGTTGGGTGAAATGCAAAACTTTAAAAAATGAGCTGTTAATAGTTTTGCCACGAGGGAAAATAGGATTGTTCGTACAGGTTCAAAATTGTTAACTGCCATTTTCACAAACCCTTTATAACAACAACTACTCACAGTTTTGGGCTGAATTCTCAAGATCATAATAATAACTTTACCTCATATCTTAAAAGTTTCACAACATTTTGAAAAAACTGCCAAACATCACAGTAGACACTCATTTAAAATATGAAGAAAACATCTTCTATACACACTGGTGTAGCATGTGTATGTACACAATAACTCAACAACATATGGACAGTTTCACCAAATTAGGCTTGAATATTACTTGGCAGAGATTCTCCAGATGACAAACTTTGAAGTTGATCGGAGTGAGTGATTCAAAAATATGGTCTGAA